CTCTCTCTCACACTCACACTCACTCTCTCACTCTCACACACTCACTCTCACCTGAGATCACAGGTGCACTCGGAGAGCTTTATGTGTGTATAATTACAGGCATGTGTGTGACTGTTTCTCCTTGACCGCGGTGTGTGTGTGCACGTGTTTCGTGTGTATAAGAGCGGTCAGGACGGTCCACTGCTGGTTCTGCTTCACGGAGGAGGACACTCGGCCCTGTCCTGGGCTGTGTTTACGGTACGAACACGCACTTATCACATAAACCGTATCTTGGTTTAGAACAGAGCCAGTGCCAGAATTGTCAACTTTCTACTGTTATTCATACTATATAAACACAATTATAAATGTAAACAACAACCTATACCTAAAGAATATATAACTGTAAGTGTAGGACGTCACACAGAAACATTCACTTTTAAGCAAATAATATGCATCAGTGACTCAGTGAATAAAACGCAGCATTATTACATACACCAAACGAAGTAGTGTAGCCTATTATTATATATATATATATATATATATATATATTTAAAATATTTTGAATTAGTTTTTGATTCTATTTCTTTCTGTTTTTCTCTACATTGTATGTAACATTTTAGTCAATTTGTTGTTTTTGTCATTTTTATTAGTTATTTTGTTTTTAATATTTTGAATTAATTTTATTTTGTACTTCTTTTTAAATTTAGTTTTAGTAATTTTGTTGTGTTTTGATATTTTTATTAGTTTTATACAAAATATTTTGAATAATTTTTATTTTTGCATTTTACGTTTTCATTTTAATTTTAGTTAATATTTTAGTAATTTGGTTGTGTTTTTATCACTTTTTGTTAGTTTATTTTAATATTTTGACTTGCTTTATTTTGCATTTGCCAATTTCATCTTAAATTGTAACCTATTAGTAATTTTGTTGTTTATTTTCAACATTTTTATAGTTTTTTTTTTTTATATTTTTTTTATTAATTATATATTTGTATTAGTTACTCCCCCCCCTCCTATTTTTTGTCTACAGTTTTTATTAATTCTTATTTCAGTTTTAGTTATTTTAGTATACCAAGAAATGTTGCTTTGGAAACCAGCTCAAATAAAATTTGTGTTTTTTTGTTGTTCTTGTTTTTTTTTTTTTACAGTTAACATTAATTTTAAGACCAAACATAAATGTTTGGTAACATTTACTTGAAGCCTTTATCTACAATGCATTATAAAAGTATTCTTAGCGTGTATTGTAATGCATTATATATATTTTTAGAAGTAATTGTATATTGCATTAAAATATTTGCAAAATCTTGGTTACATCTGAAATGTAGCTTTTTTCCTTCATGAGATAAAAGTCATTACTTTTTTTAATCTTAAAATATAACAAAATGAATCCAAAGTCAGAATTGTGAGAAATAAACTTGCATTTTCTAAACCATGCCAATAGAAATTGGTTGTTTTCATACATTATATTTTCTCAAGGTGTAACTAATTATAGTGTTATAATGCATTATAACTGTTGTTAGAATTATTAATGAGATCATACCGACCATAATGAGATTAATGTATTAAAAACACTTTAATGCATTATATATATATATATATATATATATATATATATATATATATATATATATATATATATGGTGGCCATCGACGTGGTGGAGGGTGAGAAACACTGCGTCATCTGTCATAAACCAGCATCACAGTCACATTTTTAAAAAACATTTTAAAATGCTTATTACAAAGGTATATAATATTGCTACTACTACCAATTCTACTAATAGTAACAACAGTAATAATAAAAAATGTATACATTTATATAAAAAGAATAATATTACATTTAAATATTAAACAATATATAAACTAAAATAATATGAATAATGAATCTTGATTTTTAATATTTATTTCTTTATTTGAACAAAACATTAATTCAAGCTTTAGCATTACTAAGCACTACTATTTCTACTACTACTGTTACAATATCTCAGTTTCTGCCAAATACTTAAATAATATATATGTATTTTACTTAAATAAAAAATTATAGAAATGACTTCTACTACTAATAATAATTAAGAAATTCCATAAAAATATTTTTTTTATATATAAAATATAAAATGTAAAAAATATATATATATACGTGACCCTGGAGCACAAAAGCAGTGTTAAGTCGCTGGGGTATATTTGTAGCAATAGCCAACAATACATTGTATGGGTCTGTATCTCTGCCAAATATTGTCCTATCCTCACAAACCATACATCAATGAAAGCTTATTTATTCAGCTTCCGGATGATGTATACATCTCAATTTGAAAAATCAACCCCTTATGACTGGTTTTGTGCTCCATGGTCACATATATAAATTTAAAATAATTAAGGAGCTTATTTATTCAGCTTCCGGATGATGTATACATCTCAATTTGAAAAATCAACCCCTTATGACTGCTTTTGTGCTCCATGGTCACATATATAAATTTAAAATAATTAAGGAATTGTGATGTTTTAATGTCTTTTTTTTTACTTTAAGTAAATATTTGTACAAACGTTCTCCTAGTTTCTGCCGAAATATAAAGTGGCTTTCCTTCAGCCCAGCGTCTTCTGTAGGTCTACAGCATGATTTAGCTGTGAATGTGTGGTTTGTCTTACGCAGGCAGTGCGATGGAAGTCTTGCACAGCATGCAGAACTTCCTGAGAGGACGACCCAAATCCTTCAAATCCATCGATCACGCCATTGAATGGAGGTCAGCGTCCAGATGATTATTAGAGAGAGTCTGATCTGATCCGAAATGAAAATAACACACAACACACAGACCACTGCAACAATTCAGTCTATAGAAACGGTTTACAGTGAAATTCAGTGCAGGTCCTCTTCAGTCCTGCTTTCATCCAGTGGGAAAGGGAAAAAAAGGGATTTTATCACAAAATACATTCACTTTCTTTTAAAAGTAGTAAGTAAACTAAAACTAAAAGTAAGACTAGCTCTTGTTTCAACTTCTCTTGTTGATCTGGAACAACATTCCTGCCGGGTAAACGGCTAAATCATAAACCTACTAACTAACCCATCTCCTAAAACAGAGAGAAATTACTTGTTGAAGCCCCAACAAGAACATGACAAAATCACATCTCCGCCAAGCCTCTGAATTATGACTTTTATCTCATAACTTCACATTTTTTTCATCTCATAATTATGAGGATGTCAGTTTTCCCTTTCATCTCATAATTTCAACTTCATGTGTTATAATCTCAATTTGTTATTTTATGATTATGACTTATCTCACAATTACGATTTAGTATGTCATAATTTCAATTTTTTATCTCATAATATCACTTAGCATGCCAAGTTTCAATTTTATGTCATATTTATATTTTATCTCATAATTATGACTTAGTGTGTCAATTTTGACTCGTCTCATAATTTCAACTTCATGCGTTATAATCTCAACCTTTTCTTGCAATTATGACTTTTTATCTCAATTACAAGTTAGTATGTCAATTTCAGCTTTTCAAACGTATGGCTTAGTATGTTAGATTTCAAATTTTTCATAATTACAGCATCTTATCAATTATAACTTACGTCAATTTCGACTTTATCTCATAAAGTTACTATGTCATAGTTTTCATAAATATTTTCCATATATATATATTTTTGATCAATTTTAACTTTCAGAGCAAAGAAAGAAAATAAATATAAACGAGGTTCATTATGATTCTTTAAAAAAATGTATTTGAATGAAGTCTCTTCTGCTCACCAGGGCTGCCTTTACTTGATTAGAAATACAGTAAAAACAGTAAAACTGTGAAATATTATTACAATTTAAATGAGCTGTCTTCTGTGTGGATATCTGTTAAACTGTAATTTATTTCTGTGATGCACAGCTGTATTTTCAGCATCATTACTGCAGTCTTCAGTGTCACATGATCTTCAGAAATCAGTATAATATGCTGATTTACTGCTCGAGAAACATTTCTGATTATTATCAATGTTGGAAACAGTTGCGCTGCACAATATTTTTGTGGAAACTGTGATACATTTGATTTTGATGACAGCATTTATTTGAAAAAGAAATCTTCTGAAACATTATAAATGTCTTTAATATCACTTTTGATCAATTCAATGCATCCTTATGAATGAAAGTATTCATTTCCAGCATGCGTTTCTTTTCTGGTTGCAGTGTAAAGAGTGGGCAGATCAGAAACCTTGAATCTGCTAAAGTGTCAATGGTGGGACAAGTGAGACGGTAGGGTCTGAGCACACATGCGCTCCTCGTCCTCACACTGCTTTGCTCACTGAACGAGCGTGTGTCTCTCAGGTGTGAGGTGGAGGAAGGCGATTCGGCCGAGCCGGTGAGTCCGGTGACTGAGAGCGTGGCCGAGGGGCACGAGGAGTTTTACGATCTCAACTACGTGACGGAGAAAACAGAGAGCAGCGCATCAGCAGAGGTGAGCTCCTCTAACACTGGCCGTCTGGATATGCGCCATTGTAATACTGTGCTATTCTTTGAAGTAGCAAGTAAATGCCATGGTATATGAATGTTAAAGTACCATGCTACCTGTACAGTATATACATAATAATTAGTTGCCTTATATATACACTACCACACATTATTGAAGGCAGATGTATGGAAGCCCATTTGTGCCAGATTAGAAAATACATCATGCCAGTTGACATAGTGGCATAATCCTCATTCTCATAACATAATCAGAACTTTTTGTCTCATATTTATGCCTTAGTATGTCATAATTTAGCCTTTTTTATTTTAAATTAAACTCATAATTTAGATTTTCTTTTGTCATTTTAGTTTAACCCGTCAGGTTTCGACTATCTCATATCATAATTATGACTTTCTCAACTACGACTCTTTACACTCAATTTAATTGTCAATTTCACTTTTTAAATCTCAATTTTGACTATCGCATAATTACAACTGTCATAATTTTGACTTTCTCAATTATGACCGTTTAAACTTTTAACTTCAATTTTTAAACCTCATAATAAATTTTTTTTTGTCCATTTCAGTATCTCATATCTACAACTTAGTGTGACAATTATGACTGTCATAATTGTTACTTTCTCAGTTATCATGGTTTAAACTTTTTTTAACCTCATAATTGTGATTTATCTCAATTTCAACTTTTTATCTCAAAATTATGACTGTTTACTCATAATTTAGTTTTTTTAAACCTCATAATTTAGATTTGTTTTAGTCCATTTCACCATCTCATAATTAAAACTTGTCATAATTTGGACTTTCTTAATTATGACCATTTACACTCCATTTAGTTTTTGTCAATGCTAATTTTTTAATTCATAATTTCGATTTCTCTCAATTTCAGCTTCATCATTTTAGACTTTTTATCTCATAATTATGACTGTATACACTTATATATTTTTTTTGTAAATTTTGTTTTTAATCTCATAATTTTTAGACTTTCATCTTTATCATTTGTCTTCCCAATTTTGACTCATAATTAAATAATTTTGACTTTAATGACTTATAATTTTGAGATAAAAAGTCAAGTATGACATACTATATATAATTTTGACTTATTAATGTCATAATTACTACTTGGTAAATCAGTTTCAACTTCTCATTATTATGACTTGGTATGCAGTTTTTAGTTTTATATCATAATTATGACTTTTTATCTCATAAATCTGATTCCCAATTTTGACTGATCTAATAGTTATGATCTACAAAGCATGAATTGTTTCTTATGTGGCGGAACTGGCTTCCAGAACAACTGAAATCCTGCTATTGCTCACATACACCCATATTTAACATTTATTAACCTTTGACCCCTCTGTGTGCAACTGAACAAACAGTGCATGACAAACTGAGTGTAATCGACGTGCATGTGTGCTTCAGCCATGCAGCGTGTACAGCTGGAGAATCGACCTGTCTAAAGCAGAGAAATACTGGGATGGCTGGTTCAGAGGGATATCGAACCTCTTTCTGTCCTGCAACGTCCCAAAACTCCTACTGCTGGCAGGCAAGAGACACGGACCAATCAAAGCACTCCTCTGAAACACATGAAACAGACAGTAATCCTCCTTTTAAGGAACAGTCTAAACAATGCAACATATAATCAAACAAATGGTGCTGATCTGAATGGCTAAAGTGAATCATTTATGCAACAAAATTGCTCAGTTCTGTCAGTTTAATGTGAAACGTGTCCTGTGTTCAGGCATTGATCGACTGGACAGAGACCTGACCATTGGACAGATGCAGGGTGAGTCTGATCAATAACTGTATCCTATGACAGCAATCATGCATTGAGCTGCACAATAACAAACATTGAAATCTGCCCTAGCAATCTATATAAATGATTTCGAAGATGCCTAACAATCTCAAATGACACTGATTGGTCGACCAGCGCTGAGAAAAGCAACGTGACCAACAGCGTTTTCACCTGAATAATGGCAGTAATAGTAATGTGCTAGTATGCTAATATTCTCTATTTAATGTTTTCTATGGCTTCTGTAGGTAAATTCATGATGCAGGTGCTGCCCCCTTGTGGACACGCAGTGCATGAGGACATCCCAGATAAAGTAAGATTATATTATATATCCACATTTCTATTCAAAAGCTTGTGATCACTGATTTTCTTCTAAGAAATTGATACTTTTATACAGATACATTAAAGTGACAGTAAAGACTTTTATAAAGATACTAAGATTTCTATTTGAAATAAATGCTGCTCTTCTGAACTTTCTATTCATCTGTGAATCCTGAAAGATAAAATATAAGTTTCCACAAAAAAAATTGGGCAGCATAAACATTGATAATAATCAGAAATGTTTCTTGAGCAGCAAATCAGCATATTAGAATGATTTCTGAAGAATCATGTGACACTGAAGACTGCAGAAAATTCAGATCTGATCACAGAAATAAATTACGAATTAAATTAAATATTCGCAAAGAAGAGAGTTATTTAAAAAAATAAATATTTACTGTTTTTTGAATAAATAAACAGTCTTGGAACACTCAGCATTCCCTCACTCATCTGTATAAACATTAATTATGCACAGATGATTTTGTTATTCTTGTTGCACGTTTTAATGCAATATTTGATTTTTGTGTATTTTTGAGGTGGCAGATGCTTTGGCAAGTTTTATGATCAGACACAAATTTGCCGAAGCACGCAGTGAAACTAAAAGGTGAGTTAATAACAAATTAACAACTCTATCTAAAAATGTTATTGGTCAACTTCCCTATATATATATATATATATATATATATATATATATATATAATAAGATGCATTAAAAGGTGTAATAAACAAATTCTGCTGAAGTTTGAGCATGTTAAACGTCATAGAAACTGCATGTCATTCTCTCTCTCTCTTAGTTCTTCATACCCGTTCATGCGGTGAAAACACGAGAGTGAGTGACATTGTTTTTCTCATCTGTAAATGTTTGCTGTCATTTGTTTGTACGGCATCTATCTTGTCTGCATTTGTGCATGCAAACTGAACAGAGTCGAATGTCTTTGTCCCTCAGATAAAGCAGAACAGGCCTGAACCTCCACCAGATCAAAACATCCTTCACATCCAGCAAAAACATGCTACTTTTGCCATTAAATTTCAACTGTCACTCTCCTGAGTTTAGAATAAAGATTTGGATGTTCATTATTCAACCGTGTCGGAATTTTTAGTTTAACTGAGAGGAAACATTCAAATATTGAAATGAGATGGAATCATGTGACAACATCAAAGGCAACAGATGTGAAACACTGTAAATGAGATGTTTAGCCCCAAAAAATGTACATTAAAATTTATTAATATTCAAAGCACAGTCTGACTGAAACACGTGCAAAATACTGAGCATGAAATGGTACAAATGTCTACTGAGTGTGTGTGTGTGTGTGTGTGTGAGAGAGAGAAATACAGTGAGGTGAACTGCACGTGTGTTTTGTGTGCGAGTATACAAACTTGTGACCGAAATCCCAATCTCAAAACGAAATCCAATCTCTAAATACATAAAGTGCATGATGGAAAAACTGGGCAATTAAGGAGAGAATTGGACAAAATTATTCTCTATTTACAATATACAGTCAAACAAGGAAGAACGAGTTACAGATTTAAAGGAACAGTGCACCTGAAAATGATCATTTACTCAACTTCGTGTCTTTCCACAACTTTGTTTTGCCAAAAACATCTGGAACTGTTTGAATATAGTGCACAAGTCATATGAACTACTTTTATGGTGATTTCTGGAGTTTTAAAGAAAAGGAAAAAAGAATAATAGAGATTTTGACCCGTGGGTGAATAAACAGTAACAGAACAGTCACTTATGGGGTGAACTCTCCCTTTAAAGAAATGGTTCACCGAAAAAAAAAAACTGAAAAAAAAAGTTTGCTGAAAATTTGCTCACTCTCAGGTCATCCAAGATATAGATGAGTTTGTTTCTTCATCAGACTTCTCTGAGTCTCAGCAATGGATGCTCTGCAGTGAATGGGTGCCGTCAGAATGAAAGTCCAAACAGCTGATAAAAACATCACAATAATCCACAACACTCCAGTGCATCAGTTAACATCTTGTGAAGCCAAAAGCTGCGTGTTTTTAAGAAAGAAAAAAAAAAAGATCATTAAGGCATGTTTAACTTCCAGCAAAAACATGCTACTTTTGCCATTAAATTTCAACTGTCACTCTCCTGAGTTTAGAATAAAGATTTGGATGTTCATTATTCAACCGTGTCGGAATTTTTAGTTTAACTGAGAGGAAACATTCAAATATTGAAATGAGATGGAATCATGTGACAACATCAAAGGCAACAGATGTGAAACACTGTAAATGAGATGATGTTTAGCCCCAAAAAATTTACATTAAAATTTATTAATATTCAAAGCACAATCTGACTGAAACACGTGCAAAATACTGAGCATGAAATGGTACAAATGTCTACTGAGTGTGTGTGTGTGTGTGTGTGTGAGAGAGAGAAATACAGTGAGGTGAACTGCACGTGTGTTTTGTGTGCGAGTATACAAACTTGTGACCGAAATCCCAATCTCAAAACGAAATCCAATCTCTAAATACATAAAGTGCATGATGGAAAAACTGGGCAATTAAGGAGAGAATTGGACAAAATTATTCTCTATTTACAATATACAGTCAAACAAGGAAGAACGAGTTACAGATTTAAAGGAACAGTGCACCTGAAAATGATCATTTACTCAACCTCGTGTCTTTCCACAACTTTGTTTTGCCAAAAACATCTGGAACTGTTTGAATATAGTGCACAAGTCATATGAACTACTTTTATGGTGATTTCTGGAGTTTTAAAGAAAAGGAAAAAAGAATAATAGAGATTTAGACCCGTGGGTGAATAAACAGTAACAGAACAGTCACTTATGGGGTGAACTCTCCCTTTAAAGAAATGGTTCACCGAAAAAAAAAAACTGAAAAAAAAAGTTTGCTGAAAATTTGCTCACTCTCAGATCATCCAAGATATAGATGAGTTTGTTTCTTCATCAGACTTCTCCGAGTCTCAGCAATGGATGCTCTGCAGTGAATGGGTGCCGTCAGAATGAAAGTCCAAACAGCTGATAAAAACATCACAATAATCCACAACACTCCAGTGCATCAGTTAACATCTTGTGAAGCCAAAAGCTGCGTGTTTTTAAGAAAGAAAAAAAAAAAGATCATTAAGGCATGTTTAACTTCAGACCATTGCCTTTGGTAAAATATCCATAATGACGCTTCCTCCAGTAATAAAGTCCATCCCTTGTTACGCTCTCTCATCAAAAAATTAATCAACATGTTTGTTTAGAGCAGTTTCAGACTATTTTGGCTTGTAAACGCTGCTTGATCTGTGCAGATTTCTCTCCTGATTCAGACCAGACCACTTTTTCACTGGAGGAAGCATTATTATGGATTATGGACTCGTTTTTTAGTCTAAGGCAACGGTTTGAAGTTAAAAACATCTTAATGATGGATTTGTTTCTTACAAACACACAGCTTTTGGCTTCTCAAGATGTTAACTGATGGACTGGAGTGGTGTGGATTACTTGTGGATTACTGTGATGTTTTTATCAGCTGTTTGGACTCTCATTCTGACGGCACCCATTCACTCAAATCTTGGATGGCCTGAGGGTGAGGACACTGCCAGTGAACATTCATTTTTAGGTGAACTATTTTTAGTATGGATGTGATTTATTTTAGTAGGAATGATATATATTAGTTTTCATTAATAGTTTGGATTATTATTTTTAAGTAATTTTTGTGTTGTCATTTTTATTTTTGTTTTTATATGTCTATATAGTTTGTTATTTTCATTTCAGTTTTAGTTATTTTAGTACATTAAGTTAAACTCAATGAAAATGAGAAATTATCAAATAAAAGTCCAAATAAGTTACAGTAACAATTTCAGTTAACATTTATTTTATTTCAAGAAACTTTTTTATGGTTTTAGTTAACTATAACAACTCTTGTTATATTTCAAAACATGACATGCATGTTTTAACAGAAATTACATTAAAGTATATTTTAGTTTCCCATAAATGCTTGTCAGTTCATTCAGCAGTGCACTTTAACCATATTTCGCGACAATAGAAGAAATTATGAAATTACATATAAAGGTGTACTTGCGTCTAACTTAAGTGGGTCAAAAGAAGTGCTCTAAAGTTCAGCTAATTGCATTTTACATACATTTAAACTACATTTTCATTTAATTACAATTAACATATAATGTCCAAAACATTACATTCAGTTTGCACTTGAAGTGTATTATTTCTGTAGTGCAGATAATTTTTTTAAAAGTATGCTAAAATGTACTTTATTCACAAGACTGTCTGGATGGTTTGCCATTTTTGCCACATGCATATTTGTGCATGCTTTTTTTGGGCTGTTATTAAATGTGCACTATTATTTGTCACTTTTGATAAAAGCATCTTCTAAATGCAAAAATGTAAATTATTACCCACAAGGCCTTGCACTAGAGATGAGGACGACTTCCACTCTCACAGAAATCAATGTTTATGAACTTGTTTGCACACTCACTCTGTTCGGTTGGCAAGGTATCCTGGGACAGTGGCTCAGAGTCCAGGAGGACCTGAGGGAGACCCACCATCCTCACTCCGGGGTCACGCCCCCCGACGACATCGCCGGCCATGACATCATCGCTCATCACCATGGCGTTGAGAGCCACGCCCCCCACGGCGAGCTCGTAGTCCAGAGGAATTTCATTCAGACACTCGGCACTCGACTGCATGTGAACAGAATTACACCACAGTCACACAGCATAGAGTTAAATACAACAGAATTACACTATAGCCATACTGAAGCAATAAGCCATGCATTTCAGGGATTTTACCATGGTTAAGGCCAGGATTATTACAATTAAGCATTAAACTACTACTCAAATAAACTTTCATAACTTGAAAAATTAACTTAAAATAAAAAAAACTTAAAACTTGTTTTATTTTATCTAGTTAGCAAGGCAACATTTTATTTTCATTTAGTTTAACTTAATTATATCTCAATAAAAACTTTTTTAAAAAATCTACAAAAATGACAAACACAACAAAAGTACTAACTTTAACTAAAATAAAAACGAAAACAAGGCATCCTTTTTTCATTTAGTCTAACTCAATGTATTAGCATAACTAAAAAACAATTATAGATATTTAAAAAACTAAAAAAATGCCAAAATCACAACAAAACTAACAAATTAACATGTAAACAGCATAAATATAAACATTTCAAAATATTAAATAAACTTTTCAGTATCAGTGATTCTAAAATTACACTCATTATGGCACAATACAATGTTAGTAGCGAACATCAATGTTTTAAGAATTAAATAAAAAAATACAAGATGAAATAAAAAAATGTATCCAATGGAAATATTTGAAAAATATAACTAAAAATAAAATAAAATTAATAAAAACACTATACAGACATTTAAAAAAAAATACTAATATACAAATGACAAAAACACAACAGAATGACTAAAGCGTTATTAAAATTAAAACAGAAAATATATTTAAAAAAATAATTAAAAGTATTAATGTAAAAAAAAAAACTAAATAAAATAAGATAAAATGAAAATAATGATTCCTCTGGAAATAATTTTATGTATCAATTCATTACCGTAATTAATAATAATTAAATATTATTTAGTATTATTATTAAAAATAAAGTGAATTTATTCAGAATGTTATTCAGCTGTTTGTATTCCACTGATTCTGTCTGAAGCTTCGTGTTCAGCTCATTTCTCTCTGCACTCGAGGAGGACTAAAACATGCACAAACAGCACATGACACAGGAGCCTGACCTCTGCACAGCGACGAGGGAGAGAGAAAAACACCAACCGTGAGGCCGAGAGCTTTGAGGATGTTCATTTTACACATGGGACACGTGCGATGGTCCACCAACCACGGGTCGACACAGCCCTTATGAAACAGATGCCTGCGAGAAGCAGACGAACAGTGAAGATGGTGAAGGAGGGACAGATGTGGGTTTATCAGTCTAAAGCCCCGCTCACACCAAGAACGATAACTATAAAGATAACGATATTAGCGTTCACACCAGCAAACGATATCGTCTGTTTATTCTAAGCGCACGCTCGTCTGCCGCTTTAAATTCTCGAGCTCATTATAGCAGGATTGATTCTGATTGGCTGTCAATTTTTTATCGTTCATCAGCTTGAAAAAAGCTGGATATCGTTACTCTGTGCCTTTATCGTTATAGCTGTGGTGTGGACTCTGCTATTCTTTAATATTGAGAACGATTTTTAGAACTATATCTTTATCGTTATCTTTATAGTTATCGTCCTTGGTGTGAACGGGCCTTAATACAGCAGCCTCTCATGTTTGCGAGTTTTCAGTTCAACACTGAATGAATTTCAATGAATTTATACAAAAAGACCTGCACACCACTTACATTCTCTTTTTGTAGCAAATAAGAGAGGATTTAGCAACTTTGTTATATGAAAACATAGAAATAAATATAGTATAGAATAGTGCTGCACGATTAATCGTATCGCAATCGCAATCGCGATGTCA